TCTTAAACATGTTCATAGGCGTTTTTTTTTTTTTTGTTTTTTGTTTTTTTTTTTTCCCCATTTGAAAGATGGTGGTGAAGGGGCTTGGATGAGTTCACCCTGAAAAGTGGTGGTTAAAGTCAGAAATATATCTTTGGATGCTTCATTTTCCTTCTTCAGAGCCAAATCCTCACTGACTTTTCAGGAGTATAATTAGAGTTTACTATTTTCTGCATTGCTTTTGTCATTTTCTCATCTTTATGTCCCTTGGCTTGGGTCCCTAATGAATATAATTAAAATCTTTGTGTGTGTTTCTACACCAAAGGAAGTTTTAAAGGCAGTTTCAGTCCAAGTCAAGGCCCTCAGTGTATAAAAAGACATTCTCTTGATCACATCCTTGTTTTTAACTCAAAATAGAATGCCCCTAAAATTTTGAGGTAGGCCTAAACTATGTGATAAATATGTAACCAATATCTCCACAATCAGAAATGAAAACAAACATGTAAGTTGTGATTAGCAGTTTACCTGGTATAGTCAGTCCATGTGGTCACTAAATGGGGGAGATTTGGGAATTAGACTGAGTTGGACTTAGAGTTTTACTTCTCAGCTAGTGTGGTCAGGACAGTTACTTAGTATACTAACAACAGCAAAAAAAAAAAAAAGCAAATCAACTGAGGTCCAGTTGATTCCTACGCTTAATGACCCAGAATCACTATGGGACAGAGTAGAATTGCCCCATAGGGTTTCTAAGGCTGTACATCTTTATGGATATACATAAAACCCATTGCAGAGCAGCTGGTGGGTTCAAACTGCCAACCTTTTGGTTAGTAGCTGAATACTTTAACCACTACACCATCAGAGCTCCTGAGGAAGTATAGCATTGGATAGTGCTTCAGAGTGCAGGAGCTGGAGCCAGACTACCTGATTCCAGCTTACCATTTACCAACTATGTGAACCTGGGCTAACAACAGGAATTTAACAGCCAGTATCTTCCTCTGTGGGAGCTCTGGTAGCGTAGTGCCCAAAGCACTTGACTGCTAACCAGAAGGCTGGCAGTTCAAACCCATGAGCCATTACTCAGAAGGAAGATGGGGCAATCTACTTCTGTAGTGATACTGCCTTGAAAACCCAAGGGGTTGGGTCCGACTTGACGGCACACAACAACAACAACAACATCCTCCTCCGTAAAATGGGGACAACAGAACTTACTGCATGGGTTCTTGTGAAGACTGAATGAGCGAATCCATGCAGAGCTTGGTACATAGACTTGACAAAAGGGTGAAGGTGATGATAGAGCCTCTTCACAGGGGTATTTGAACATGAGCTACGGGATTAGATGCCCAGAAAGCCCCTTACATGAGTTAGTACTCGTAGATGGCAGCTGCTATGCTACAACAAAAGGCTTCACTGAAAGAATTTCAAAGAGCTTGAAATTAGATTGGAAGGTGAAATGGGGGTTTAAAACAAGAATTCTCCACCCAAATTAAAAAACTAGCCCTTATTTTTAAAAAGCAAACAGACCAGGGGTCCTTCACGGCAACACCGATTGTTCCTAAACGGAAGAAAGCATTTTCTATTTCAATGTTCATAACCTTGGTGATGAGACATGTTTGCTTTTATTAAATCTGTTAAGTTGCTACCTTCCTTATTACAGTTTTTTTCTTTTTTGAACTTTTTATTGTTCTTTAAGTGAAAGTTTACACAGCAAATTAGTTTCCCATGCAATAATTCATGCACAACTTGTTCCCTGACATTGATTGCAATTCCCACAATGTGTCAGCACTCTTCCCATTTTCAGCCTGGATTGCCCCGTTTCTATTTGTCTGTTTTCCCTGCCCCTGCCTGCTTTCTCATCTTTGCTTTTGGGCAAATGTTGCTCATTTGGTCTTATATAGTTGATTGTTCTAAGAAGCACCTTCCTCAGGGGTGTTATTGTTTCTTTTACAGGCCAGTCCATTATTTGGTTGAGAGGTGGTCTCAAGGAATGGCTTCAGTTCTAAGTTAGAAGGATGACTTAGGGTGATAGTTTCAGGGGTTCCTCCAGTCTCTATCATACCACTAAGTCTGGTCTTGCGTTTATGAATTTGAATTTTGTTCCACATTTATTATCTATTCTAACCAGGAACTTTTAACGTGTTTCTGGTCATAACAGTCAGTAATGGTAGCCGGGCACCATCTAGTTCTTCTGGTCTCAGGCTAGAGGAGGCTATGGTTCATGGGCCTATTAGTCCTTTGGACTAACTGCTTCCTGGAGTCTTTGGTTTTCTTCACTTTCCATTGCCCCAGGCAGAAAGAGACCAATAGTTGTATCTTAGATGGGCCACTCACAAGCTTTTAAGACCCCTGATGCTACTCACCAAACTAGAATGCAGAACATTATCTTTATGAACTGTGTTATGCTAATTGACCTAGATGTCCACTGAGACCATGGTCCTTAGCCTTCAAGCTCAGTAGCTGAGTCCTGCAAGGAGGCTGCAGTTCTGTATGGGCTCAAATCAGTTGTTAAAATCAATAAATCCTTGGGTTCTAGGATGTAACCTCAGAATGCCCAATTTTTTGGCATAGTTTCCTTTTAATAATATGCTTCTGCTTTAGCCTGAGTATGTACAGACAGTAAGATTACTGCATATGACTTAGGGTCAGTTTCTTATCTTTCACAACTCTTTTGGGAGAACTTCCTTAGAGAAGGTGAATATTTGAAATGGTATCTTAAGATTCCAATTTCACACACAGTGGCTGTAAGAAATAACTGCCTACCGGTGGGATTTCATTTCTATTCAACGGGCAATTAAATCGTTCAAATTTAAGCTTAACATTTAGAAGCAAGCCTCAAAATGTGTTTTTATTATGAATAATTTTAAAGCAATCATGACCTTACTGTATCCTCCCATAGCAACCAGTGCAAGCCTTGTGCAGAAGAGGGACTCAGTAACTAAGAAGTGATTCTGAACATGTAAAATGGTTCTTGAGAGTTGGGGAAATCTGAACTTGATCCCAGCCCAGTGGGACTGAAATGTACTTCCTTCTCCCTCTCCTTCACTTCTTGTGAATCTTAAATATCCTAAAATTTAGAAATTTCCCAAGTTTTCCTTCCTGAATGTGAATGTCAGAAGAAGACTGAATCAGTCTACATGATGAACCTGATCCCTGGGTGAGTAATTTTTTCCCATGAGCACTTCCTATTCTTTTTTGCTTATTACATTTACTATTGTTTCCTAGGGAATGAACAGCATTTTCAAGTGATGAGAGCTACATTCTTTTGCTGAAATGGATTTCTAGTAGAAATGAAAATGCAAATGTCATTGGGAAAATGCCAAGAATGACAATTTATCTTCTTTTTTTTTTTTTTTTTTTCAACAATTAGGAGCCAAGTTGCAACATATGCCTGTTAGTTGCAACATTCACATAAAAAAAAAAAAAAAAAAAAAAATCCCCACTGCTGTTGAG